TGCAGGGTATAAGAGCGGTATTAAAGAGTCAATTAGAGCCCAGCTGCAGTGGCTCAGCGGTTGAGTGCTGACCTACGATCTATGAACCAGGAGGTCACAGTTCGATTCCCAGTCAGGGCACGTGCCCGGGTTGCAGGCTTGATTCCCAACTGAGCCGAAGGCAGCCGATCAGTGATTCTCTCTCATCATTGATGTTTCTATCTCTCTCTCCCTCTCCTTTCCTCTCTGAAATCAATTTAAAAAACAACAACACAAGCAACCAAAGAGAAAATAAATTGGACCTCATCAAATATAAAACTTTCGTGCTTCAAAGGACACCCTCAAGAATGTGAAAAAACAATGTAGACACTGGAAGAAGATATTTGCAAATCATATATCTGATAAGAGATTTGTATCTAGAATGGAAAAGAATAAGCACATGACAGGATGCTCAACATCATTAGTCATAAGGGAAATACTAATCAAAACCACAGCAAGATACCACTTCACACCCACTAAGATAGCTATAATCAGATTCCACCTACTCTGCAGCCATTTTGGAATCCCCTCCCATCTTAGTTTGGCTTAGATATTCAATGTCTTAATTTTTTCTTTCATCAGACATGCAAATGGAATAATATTCTTTCTATTAAACATCACTGATGACTGGACCTTTTAATGTTCAGTTTGACCACCTCTTTTTGTTTTTATTAAGAGATACTACATCACACAAAGAAAATATTAAACATTAATCTGGAGCAAGAGCATTAAAAAGTAAATTGGGATCTGTCTTATTTTAAGCAGGGACATCCATTTTCTTCAGGCTTAATATTATGAGATATTTGGCTCTTCCAGGAGTCAAAGTGAAGAAGTATAAACATAGAAAATTTTGACCAAAAAAAAAAAGGCAATGCAATTTATATATTTTTAAGCTGAAGGCAGAATATTTAAGAGCCATTGATAGGGTTTAGAAAAGCCATCAGTGCGAAGGTAACCAAAACACTGCTCAAGCATGGGTTGTCACCATCAGTAAAAGGAGAGAGAAAGAGAAAGAGAAAACCCGGCTGGTGTCTCTCAGTGGTTGGGCATTGACCTATGAACCAGGAGGTCATGGTTCGACTTCCAGTCAGGGAACATGCCTGGGTTGCCGGTTCGATTCTCAGTGGGAGGCATACAGAAGGCAGCCAATCAATGATTCTCTCCCCTCATTGGTGTTTCTATATCTCTCTCCCTCTCCCTTCCTCTCTGAAATTAATTTAAAAATATTTTTTTCGAAAAAGCTATTACCCAGGCCCGGCTGGCATGGCTCAGTGGTTGAGCACTGACCTATTAGCCAGGAGGTCATGGTTTGATTCCCGGTCAGGGGACATCCCCAGGCTCCAGGCACTTCGAAATCAACTAAAATATTTTAAAAATAAATAAGTAAATAATAAAAAATAAAAAGCCATTACCCAAAAAAGTTTATACAATAAAAGTGATACCCCACTATTCTATTTTTTTAAGTTGATTTTAGAGAGAGGAAGGGAGAGAGGGGTGGGGAAACAACAATTTTTTGTTCCACTTAAACATTCATTGGTTGATTCTTTTTAAAAAATATATTTTTATTGATTTCAGATAGGAAGGGAGAGGAAGAGAGACATAGAAACATCAATGATGAGAGAGAATCATTGATCGGCTGCCCCCTGCACACCCGCTACTGGGGATGGAGCCCGCAACCCAGGCATGTGCCCCTAACCGGAATCAAAACAGAGACCCTTCAGTCCTCAGGCCAACACTCCATCCACTGAGCCAAACCAGCCAGAGCCACTGGTTGATTCTTGTACGTGCCCTGACGGGTGATTGAACCCGAAACCTTGGTATATCAGGATGGCGCTCCAACCAACTGAGCTTCCCGGCCAGGGCCTACTCTACTGTTCTAATTGTTGCTCATACTGCTACTAGAGGTAACATCCCTATGTCAATAAATTCATATTGTTCCCAGTAAGAACAGGCTCATCACACTGTCCTTCCTTTACTGCAATTTGCTATATAAACTTTATATATATATACAGACTTAAATATATGGTGGAGGCATTTTGATGTTAGTATCTATATCCCCACTTTATTCTTTTAAATGTCTACATAGTACTCCAATAATAATAACAACAATAATGGTGGCCAACATGTATAGTGTTTCATGGGCTCTAAATGCTTTACATATATTAATTCACTTAATCCTTACAATGATCCTATGTGATAACTTCTACTTTATGCTCATTTTATAAAGGAAGAAACCAAGACACACAGATATGGTATCATAATTTATCTACTGATAGACATTAAATTTTTAAAAATTTTACACTTAGCTCCAGTGCACAGAATTCTAAGTACCGTGATGATGATTTATAGAACAGATCCTAGCAGTGGGACTCTGAATCAGTGGACAGATACATTTACAATTTATAGATAGTGTCAAAATGCCCTCCAAGATGGCTGCAGCCGTCCAATAGCCCCCGTGTGGAGGCCTCCACCCTTCCCACTTCGCACAGCCCGCACTCCTCACACCGGCCCACACATCCTCCCAAGGCTCTCTGCACCAACCCTCAGCTCACAGGAACCTTCCACCTACACCTCAGGCTGCCAGCGCCCTCTCTGTGGTGCCCCCTCGGAGTTCCACTCAGTGACTCAGTCCTGCTCCTGCCTGTGGGTCTCGGCAGGTTCCCGAGAGGACCGCAGAGTGTCCCTGGCCCTCAGGCTCTCTCAGTACAGGCAGGCACCGAGATCAGGGAGAGGGACGAGGGTGCCTTGATCAGGGAGAGCCCAAAGAATCCTCCAAGCCCTAACCGGTTTGGCTCAGTGGCTAGAGCGTCGGCCTGCGGACTGAAGGGTCCCAGGTTCGATTCCGGTCAAGGGCATGTACCTTGGTTGCGGGCACATCCCTGTAAAAAAATCAATAAAAAAAAAAAAAAAAAAAAAGAATCCTCCAAGAAAAACACACGCCCAGCTCCACCTACACCACACCCCTGTACCCCTCGCTCACTCACCTCAGCTTCCGCCAGACTGATCTGCCTCTCCAGATCCTCAGGGACCATCTTCCCTCTGGAAAAGAAAACCGAGTGGGTAAAGGAGTAATTGCTCTCTAAGCTAGGAAGTGTTGAGAGCAGGGTAATGTGGGGTTCGCAATACAGAGGCCACAGTGTTGATCTTTTCCCTAAGACATCTCAGGGCACAGGGCAGGAGACTCTAGCACTGAGAGACAGAAGCAACTATTGTGTAGAAACAGAGAGTGAAGAGAAGTCCACCAGAGGCGTGGGCCTGCGGCCAGAGCTTCTCACAGCAGGAAGCATGCCGCACCAAGCCGGTCAGGGCCACAAGGACAGGACCGTCACCTCTCATCTGCCGTGACCACTCGGACACTGTCGGTGCCAAGTCCCAGGAAAGCAGCTCCTTTGTTGATGGAGTAGTGACACTGTGGAGAAAGGCGGAGAGCATGTCAGGCTAGGGTGAGAGGCAGGGAGGATGGGGAGGAGAGAGAGACTGATAGAAGTCAAGTGTAAGTTGTAATAGGTGAGACCCTGTAGACCTGGGCTTCTCAAGCATTCATGAGCCTTCAAATCGCCAGGGTCTTTCATTAAACGCAGAGTCAGATACTCTGGGGTGAGTCCTGAGATCCTGCATTTCTAACTAACGCCCCCGTGATACTGATGCTGCTGATCCAAGGACCACCCTCTGGGTAGAAAGGGTGTGGACTGTGTCCCCCTCACTAGCTGCCCCTTCCCATTCCCTCCCCCACAACTGAAGGCAAGATGGATGGGAGCCCCCGATTCGAAGGAAGCACATACACTGGGGGCAGGCTGGCCTTGGAAGAGACGGGCCTGGGCAGCAGAGACCCTGACAGATCTTGGACTCACTGGCTAGAGGTTAGAATCAGGAGCCCAGGGGAGGCCTGTGCCTCTTCCCCACCTCCTTCGTTGTGAAGAGGGCCAGGGGTGGCAGTGCCCGGAGGCCCTTCTGCTTGCAATCGGGAAAGCGCTGATAGCGGGCCAGGTTCACCGCATACATGTTGGAGATAGAGCCACCTGTCATAGGGAGGGGATGGCGGCAAGAGGGACAGACAGTGGGTCAAAACTGGAGCTTGCCCCTCTTGACCTCTCTACCCAGAAGAACTGATTAAAAAAACACGAAGGATTGGCTCCCAGGTCTCTACAAATGCCACGATAGCCCAGAACAGCCCAGGGATCTAGATCCCCTGACTACCCCCTACATATCCTGGGCTGCCCCCAAGACAGGCCCCACCCGGAGAGAGCAGGCACTGGAGCATTGATCCCATGGGCTGTTTGGCAAACAGGGGGAGACAGGGTATTGGGCAGCCTCTTTCTGGTGTGGCCAGAGCTTAGCTGGAGGGGAAACAAAGAGCTATAAGCCCTGCCAGCTTAGAGCAGGAGAACGGTGAGGAAGGAAGAACCCTTTAAAAGGCCAAAGAAAGACACCCCTCCTTCTCACATACCAGGGCAGAAGACCCCATCCCCAGAGCTCCAGCCCACCAACGCCCGGAGCTTTTTCAGCACCTCTTCTTCCATGAGTACGAACACGGGGGCGATTTCATAAGTGTACCTGCCAGGAGAAGGGACAATGAGAAAGGGGAAGGGACAGGGAAGGAGGCCAGGTGAGGCTCTCAGAGGATCAGAGAGAGCAGGAGGTGAGAAGGAGTGAGGGAAGGGCCCAAAGAGAGGAAGGAGTTGGTGACAAAGAACCAAGGAAGCCAGAATGAGAACAGGCCCTGGTTGGGTAGCTCAGCTGATTAGAGCGTCATCCAACACACCAAGGTTGCAAATTTGATACTCAGTTAGGCACATACAAGAATCAACCAATGGTCCTGGCCAATGTTTCTCAGTGGTTAGAGCGTTGGGGGGTCCAATTCCCAGTCAAGAGCACATACTGGTCAGGGTGGGTACAGGAGGGAGTCTTCCCTCTCTCGAAAAAATCAATGGAAAAAATATCCTCAGGTGAGGATTGACAACAACAACAAAAAAATCAACCAATGAATACATGAATAAATGGAACAAATCAATGTTTCTCTCTCTCACATTCTCCTCTAAAAACCAATTAATAGATTTTTTTTTAAAGAATGAGAAGAAACTAGGGTGAGGCAGGAGAAAGCTTAGAGAAAGGGAGCCTGAAGGGCACAAAGGGGAAGACTCTGCCAGCAGAGACTTCCAGAAAACAGGGATGGGGAAAAATCATTTTCCTCCCCTCCCCCCAGGCATGTGCAAACCCATATCCTCTGAGGGGTGGTGGGAGGGGCCCTTGGCATGTCTCACTGGCTGGTGTTGAGGCTCTCGGTGACAATACGCCCGGCCAGGGCATGGGGATCCAACCCTGAGAAGAGCTGGTTGAAGAAGCGAGGGTGACCTGGAGAAGGGGACAGGGGGCTCAGAGTCAAACTGGGTACAAACTCCAGACACTCCCCCCAGCAGAACCCAGGACCCACAGGTCTTCACGCTGTAGCGGATCACAGCCTGGCACCGCTCCAGGATTTGCTCCTTTGACTCCCCCTGGCTCCGTAGCTCCAAATCCAGCAGCTGCTTCAGCTCCTCCGGCTCCTTCCACTCGCAGACCTAGGGGGAGAAGTGGGAAATTTGGGGGGCCCTTAGACACTCTATTGACTGCTGCCCAAACCACATCTCAGTACACACAAGACACCACCAACAGGCACCTAAAGCAACAAGTCAGGAATATTTTTAAAGCAACACATGAACAAGGGTAAATAAACACAGTAAGAACCCAGTATATAATCCCTGAGGCACACAGTGGGAGAAGTCTGCGGAAAAGTCTTGTTGGGGGAGCAAAGTTCTGAGCCGCGTTGACGGGCAGAAAGAACAGGGAGAAAGGACCCACCTTCTCGGAAGCACTGGTCCCTTTCCAAATGACTTCATCCACAACAACCCCAAACACGTCCCGAAGCAAGGCTTCTGCAGCCACGGGGTCCCAGTCAAGGGAGGGGAGTGGTTTAGAGTCAGCCATCAGGATGAAATCTGTGAGCAGAGCAGGAGTTATTCCCTACTCAGCCTGCGTACCCCACCTGGACCTAACCAAGAACCCCAACCCCTGAAGGAGCCTAAGGCCCCAGTCCTGCAGCTCAGTCCTGGCCTTCACTGTATAGACAAGGGCAAATGAGAGCATCCAGGGAGACAGCCAGTAGAAACGGGTGAGAGGGAAAAAGGCAGTTAGCACAGATCAGGTGAAATCTAGTGGCCACTGCCCACCTAACGCAGCAACAAGAGGCTTACTTTTCTGCTCAGGTCTGTTCCGGTGAGCTGGAGGCAGGTTACACAATTTGCTTTTCAGAATGTTAGTACCAGGGAAGCAGAGGGAGTGAGTAGAGGCAGCAGTCACATGAACATGACATCACTCCCATGACCTTGCCCTAAAGAAAATGGACACAGGTTTGGGATAGGGACACTAGGTTAAGTCCTCTGAATAATCATTAGCTGACATGAAGAAGGGGGAGATGAGATAAAAGGCACAAACACGTGCCACGTTAACATCAGGGTTAAGAGGAGCAGAGAGCCAGCAGAAAGAGTGGCTTCCCACCTGAACCAAAGGGCCCTGGATAGGGTTCCTGGGATCTGTTTGGCAGGGAGACAAGAGCAAGGGGAGGGGAGACTGAGGTGGGGGAGGGGAGACTGAAGTGGGGGAGGGGAGAGACTAAGGTGGGGGGAGCCTGAGGGAGACCAGTGGTTCAGGCAGGTCTCAGAGGCCAATCTCTGCATCCCGCCCCCTACAGTCTTTTCAGAAGTGTCCCGATTTCTAAAGCCCTCTCCCAGAGCAGGAAGGAAAGGAGGTGACATTGAGGAAGCACTTTGCTAAACAAGTGTAACCCTGTGCCCTGCAGGCTGAGAGTGCTCAATAGACAGGGAGTGGCTGTTTGAAGCGAACACCAGCTGTGTTCATGACAGGGTGCTGGGGACTGAGAAAGCCTCCCTGTCCCAGTGGGAGGACACAGATGCACACGCAACAGTTATACCCAGGGCATGGCTGGGTGCTGACCCCAGCATTATTCAGGAAAAGAGAAGGCTGAAGACTGGGGAAGATCAGTGGGACTGGAGCTGAATCTTGAAAGTGGGCAGGAGAAATGAGATTGGCGAAAAGGAGGGAGAGAGGCATGCAGGAATGTCATGAGCTTACATCAGGACGGAGTATGG